CCTAAGTCAGGAGTGTTATTTATCCCCCTTCCCTACAAGCTATGCCAACACTGTTAGTACCAATAGATGCTTTAGACCGTCTACTTTCACAAAGTACCACTACTTTTGCAGTAGTTTAAAAAAAGACTTGCTGCAGCCTGCAGACAGACAGTAATGTCGGCCTCCAGTTATTTTCATTTCCTGTATCAGTGGGGACCATGGCCCCCCGATACAGTTGCAATTGTATTGCACTGACTTCAGGAGAAGAAAGAGCTCCCAATGACGTTGGGAATGTTGCTGGCCGGTGTTGTTGCTAATAGCACTATTTGGTATTTGAATTTGGATGCAATTTTCCATATGCCCCAGGAGTGCAAAATGCATCAGTGTGAGGGAAAAAAAAAAAACTTCATAGGAAGAAAAAATATACATATAGATAAATCTGACATATGGTGATAGTTGGCAGGACAACACACCAAGGGACTCAAAGCAACAACATGGACATTTTACAGTACATTTAAGAGACATGGGAATCCCACTCTGAGTATTGCATCATACATGTCATTTCCATGCAATACAAACTGTTACCTAGAATATGATATATGTATAGCATGTGTGTCGCTTAATAAGCAAAGCCTGCTGTTTCACCCTGTAGTTTTCTTGCTTTCTTTGATGTGTATGTCACAGATTTCAGCAGTGAAATTAATGTTGCTTTTAAATGGACTGCTTGGGTATTATTGCATTGTGAATTGTATATTTGTAGTTTCACATGAGACACAGAAAGCTTGCCAAGGACACAACACACAGAAATGTAATATCATATAAATGTGATATTAAATTTCAGTGTCCTGTTCACTGTCTCTTTCCAGTCAAAAGAACCTACATTCTTGTGTCGAGAGTTATTACATTCTGCTGAGGAGATCTAAAGGGGCCACTGCATTGAGGTGGGAAGATTATGATCCGAAAAGTGATGATAATGATGAAGATGACTATAGCCTTCATCCTTAGGCCATATGACTATTTACATTACGTCAGGAGTTCGTGCTGTGTGGGTGCCAGAGTGATGAGACCGGTTGGGTGTAATCCGGGCTGACACTCGCCCACATCTCGTTTCCCCGACTCCATGGCAGCAATGTTCACGTGGTGCCACACACACAGACACACACACAGACACACACACACACACACACACACACACACACACTAACAGCAGGAGCACATAGGGAACAAAACAAATTACAATGTAAAGAGAAAGAGACAGACAGAGAGAAAAGAGAGTTACACAAACACAAGGGAGATGCAGCTTTGCCAAGTTGTGCTTAAAAATTAGATTTAAAACTCGATGCATTAACAAAGCAGACCACAGCCGTAGAGTTAACGGATTTGCTTTGCTCCATAAAAATGCAAATAAAGGTTCTCTTTTTACCACATGTAGAGAAGGAGGTGAGGTTAGATAAGGAGCCCTGTTTACAGGAGACAAAAACATAAAGGCGATAAAATTTCTCTCGGAGCACACTCCTCAGAACCTGATAGTCTCTACCATTGCTCCATGGGAAATGAACAATTCTGTTCCCTCTCCCTCCTCCCTCCCCCCTTCCCCTCTTCCAATGCCTCCCACCTCCTCACCCTCCTAAACGCTTCTTCCAAATCCCTGATGGCCAAGCTTAGTGCTTCTCTGTTTCAGGACGGATATTCCAATCGGAAAGGATGAATTAATGGTTTGAAGATCATTGCTCTGGTTTCCTGTTGCCTCCACACTTTCTCCACCCTTCCCCCACTACACCACTAGTGGTTAACACAGGAGGAAGGCATGGATATGGTTTCAGCTCATGATGCTATTTACACTGAAGGAAAACATAACAAGACCAAAACTCTAAAGCCCTGCTAGCAGCCCCTAGAGGCTATAGTGTTCATTACACACAACAAATCAAGTGCTGGACAAACAAACTGATTGGGAGAGGGGGACGCCACAAATAACAAATCAACACAAAACAGCATGGGGAGGCTGAAAATACCGTGGTTCAGTTTGAAAAAATAAAGTCTAACACAGTGAACATAATGTAGGACCTTTGGGGTTTCCAAACAGATGAAATGGATGAAAGCATTGAATCGAGACTGACCTGACCACAGAAATGACAGCATCGGTCATTTGTTCAAACACTATATCCACACTTTTCGTGACAAGTGACCTCTTACAGTTGTGATGGTCCTCTTTCAGAAGCAAAACCAGAAGTAGTGTGCCATTGTAATCCTGCCACAAAACATCTGCGGAAGATCCCTGGCATGCACCTTAACATATGCGTTATTTTGTTTGAACTATATTCAGGTAATAACCTTTTTTTTTTACCAAAACAATCAGTTGAAGGATGATATTTTTAAACCTCTCCAGTCATAATGTCAGTTGAAAATATGATTATGCAGTGAGAATATGCAAGCCGAACACCTAAACCACCTTTAAACCTTTTAAAAAATGATGATATCCATTAGGGATGTAACGATATGGAAAATTTGATATCTTGATTATAGTGACCAAATTATCACGGTAAACGATAATATTGTGATATTTTTTTAAGCGCTGTAAAATGTCCAAAAAATAGATACATTGAAATAACTTCACTAAGTCTTGTAACTTCCTTATCATACCAAAATGTTAACAGCCAAAATCTTATATTAAAATGAAACTTTCACATTAAAGGGGCAAGGGATTGGCACAGCAACAGAAAAATTTATTTTAAATTAACACAATATGTAAACAAATTACAGGAACAAAGCTTATTTGTCTGGTGCATTTTAACAGTCAGCAAAATATGTAAACAATTTATATATTAATTATTTATTTATTAGCACGAGAGGAAATATATAAAACAAAACAATGCAAGACTAGAACAAAAGACATACAATATATAGAACAGATATCACAAATGTGCAAGAGAAACCAAAAAAACCCTAAGGGCAATGGTCATCATTACACAGAATAATTCACACATTAGAAGTGTGCATGTGAGTCAGAGGATTACCTGTATGAGAAAAGGAGTGCATGCTCTCGGTCAAAGGTTAACACGGCAGCGTTTTATGTTGTTTCCTTGAGCTTATGTCAAGAAAGCATAACTGGCCGTCTGTATCGATTCTAGCTCACCATACAATAACTATAATCACAGTGATTCAATCATAGTTGATCTCAATTAGCGTTACGTTACGTCGGTTTATATTCTGTCGGCTCCGCTCAGTGTTTTCAGCTCCGTTTCGTTTTGAAACACTTAATGTTAGCAACATAGCTGCTAATACGGCTATTAGCTACTCAGCTAGTATTAGCTCCTAAGTGTCTTAGATGAAAACGGAAATCCTAGTCACCATTTGGGAGGACAGATACGGCTCAAATGTCCAGTATACGTCGAGAGTTACACATTATGACAATCTTAGTAAAACCAAAGTACCTCACACAATAACTGACGTTTGCATAGCATAACTTGCATTGGCTGTAAAGCTGTGGATGATGGTCACGGAGATGAGCCAGCAGAATTGTAGTGTCGCTACCCATTGCAGCTATCACCACCTTCAGCCATGGTTTCATTCTTTGTGTTTACAAATGCTACGCATTCACGCAACGCCTGCATCGCGAGACTTGAATAAGGCTGTTATTGCATATCCTGATAATCCACCGCGATAATGCAATTAATTTAAAAATAAACAGTAATTCTTACCGTGTAAAAATTAACCAAGATTTACCGTAATATCGGTAATCGTTACATCCCTAATATCAATACCAGTAACAGTGCCCCTAAAGTGATACCGATACTGAGTACGTTAGTTAATACCTTTTTTACCTACTTCACTGGGACAAAAAGTTGGCCCTGGCATTTTAACCCAGACCAGCCAACCACAATCAATCACACAAATAAGAATTATATGTAAACGTGTTATATGGTACAACGATTTAGGTTTCTTTCAAAAGGAGGGAGGCGACACATAATAAAGAGGGGTTCTGGGGCTCTTTTTAAAGTGTCAAACACTTAATCTCCTGTATTCTGGTGAATTTTTATGCACCAGTTTGTGCCCTTTGCATCTATTTATGGTGGAAATACATATATAATATATGTATATATGTGTATGGGACTTGTGTCACTCAGCCCCCCCAACACACATGCATACACACAGACCTGCATCTATTATTCTAACAGGCATGACAACATCCATGTTACAAAAACTATCACGTTCTTTGCCAGACTTCACGTAGGCTTAATTTATGACAGGCTCATGACAAAATGACCTGGCAATGCTGATAGGCGTAACCACAGTAACTCTCCCCTGCCTGCCTGCTCACAGTGAGACAAGAGAAGGAGAGACGTGCCTGAGTTACTCTGAGCAGCAAGCAAGTATCGTATAGCCATAATTTCAAACCCTCTGGTGGCATCTCATCATGCAGAACTGCCAGCTCTGTCAAATACACCGCACTCAACTTCACCACACCAATGATTCAAAATGGACCAAAACGCCCTGTAAATCTAAGCTGAGTGGTAATTTTCTGAAGACTTATTGTTACAAGTATCCCCTTTCAAATTACACAGTCATGTGATCCATTAATATAAGAATACGTACAGTATTAGTGCAGCTTTAACACAGTAGTTCTAGTTGCCAAAACTTTAACTGCCTAACCAGACCAAACTATGGAGCTGGCAGATCAGTAAACACTCATAAAATTAATTTTTTTGGAATAGTTATATGGGTTGTTTTGGAAGACACAGACAAATTAGATTATTTTTTTAGTATGAATACTTGTTGGTGAATCTATCATTGGAGATGCTTCTCCTTCAGTGTGCAATCTGAAATGTGACTGATTATGCCATGCATTCAGCCATCAAGGTCATGTCTGTTGTTTCTGTTCATTCACACTGGATCCATAATAAATGACATCGGGTGCATGTATTTTCATCACCAGGATTGGCTTCCAGCCTTTGTAATATGTTGAGCAGCAATGTAAAACCTGTTTGTGTGGCTAACACTTAATCAAAATTGTGAAGTCCCACCTGAGCAGCGGTAAAAAGCTTGCCTCCGCTGAGTGAATGGCGCAGGAACACCGACAACACCTCACTCTCTGATCCACCACTGATACCATTTGATAGACTAGGAATACAGAAGCAGAGAGAAGGGAGGGGGTGAGAGGAGTGGAGGCAGACATTGAGACACTAGTGTGAAGACTTAGATTACACTCTTTTTCTGCATTAATGACAAAATATGTATGAAAGAGAGATGGGGTTAGGATTGTGAGCTGGAGCCAAGCCCACAACACTCCAAGATATCAAAGATCTGCAACAGCTGCACACACTGATAGCTCTGCAGCCATAAAAGAGAAGTGGAAAAGGAGTGGAGAGGTAAGGGTGAGGTAAGGTGGTGGAAATTAATTTGGTGCAGAACCTTTTACCGGCTTGACAGTTTTGCAGCAGCCGGCCTTGGCTCAGGCTGCTGTCTGTCATGTCTTTTGGAGGTTAGATAAGCCTTGCATCTCCAGCTCACTAACAGCCTCTGAATGAAGGGCAGGATGCTGTGATAAGCAGATATAACCACTTCTGCAGCTGCTGGACTGATGTTTCATCAATGGATGTGAAACAATCTCACATCCATACACATTACTGGCACAAAAATGGGCAATGACACTTTTTCACAATGCATTTCCTTTCCTCTTTGTAAGGAAATCGCTATAAATCTCCATCAAAAAGGCCCATTATCGTTGGTGCTTGAAAGCGAGCTGCTCCAGAAAGTGGAATATGGATGAGCAGCATGAGATGAAAGAAAGCAGGACTGCACCAGACGAGATCCAGCTGATCACAGGAAAGAATATTGTAACATCTCTTATTCATTCGAATAGCATTGTCTTATCTCCCACTGTACTCTGCTCTCTCTCGACAGATCCTGTCATTTGTTCAAAGGCCTCAAAGAACCTACAGTGTGCTTATGTTTACCTGACAAGGACCTCTTTACTGGTAGCTGTGTGAATAACAGTACGACTCTTAGCGTGACATGGTGTGGGTCAACAAATCATGTGACTTTTGCCATAGACATTACACATTAATTTCTTTAAATCATGACCTCAATCTCCCACTAACATCAAAGAGGTAGTTTTAGTTGCCTAAACCTGACCAAACCGTAACCGTTGTGATGGCAGATCAGAAAATGTTCACATGAATAATATTAGTTCCGTTTATGGTTTTGGGAGGCCATGACAAATGAGTTCAGATGATAGTTTTTCAGTCATTTTCATACAACATATCAGCATCTTTTTACTCTATCACCACATTTTTGTCTTCACTTAACACCAATACTGTACATTGCTGTTTTATAGTGAGCGAGGTCATCCTGTGGCAAGCTGCTCTGAATATGCCTCCAAAAGAAAGTGAAGACAAACTTGGTGAAATCTACATTTCCCAAAAAAGTTAGTTACGGAGAAAAACTGGTGGCAAACTTTTTATTGATGTGGTGCATCAACATAATAGCTCGTCATATTCTCACAAAACAGACGAAAAAATGTGTAATAATGCTAAATAAAAGTGCTTATTAATGGACTGATTTGATACAAATTTCAGCACCTAATATTCTTGTATGCTTAAGTAGGTTAAATGCTGCCATTACAAGAAACTTGTGGCCATCATATGGCAGTTTGATGAGATACAAGTTGTGAAGTTGCCGTTTTTGCAACACAAAAAAAAATATCTGCTTTGACATAAGAAAAAATGTTTACATTCCAAAAGATTACCTATATTTAAATATAGCCAAATTGTGCATGTTATCAATTTTATGTTGAGTTATTTTGACTTACTCATGTTATTACCGCCAATGCACAATTTAAAAAAACAATGAATGTAATTTTATAAATTAACTGTAAAAAATAAATTCAGATACTGCATTGTTATTGGGAGTAAAGCAACAGCTTTTCAATGCTCATACCAGGGCATAAAGCTTGGTTAAACATTTCTCTAAACTTATTGTAACTGTACTATCTGAATAAATAAATTGGAATAAATACAACAAAATCAAACACTTAAAACTATATTTAAATAAATATGGAATTTTCAGTAAAGAAGGTTAGGTGTCACTGTTATTGTTGGTATATTTTTTTCTGTTTGCATTGTATCTTACAGCAAAGAATACATTTGATGACCTAGAAAGCTTTCAGGTGACATTTCTAGGGATCTATATAATCATCTGGTGGTCATGATGTAATGTTTGTTTGTTTGTTTTTTTATTTCCAAGTGTCATACACCAAAGGTGCCCAGCCCTCATGGGCTTACAAGACACTTAAATCAACATGAAGGAGCCATACAACATAACCAAAAGGAAAGCACAGGAAATGATGCTTTTATATATGCATCCATCCACCTACACACATATACATATATATACACACACATACATAATAAAACAAAAATACAGAGAAAGGTTATTTCATTTCTACAACCGTTACATTTTCTCCAAGGCCAATAGTGTAGAGGTCGATTTTCACAAGAGTTCCAAGTGTTAGGGAGTCTGTCCATGAACATCAGTGGCAACCGATCTTGACAGTGCAGCCAGGTAATGCTGTTTCCAAGGAAACAGTAAGACATTTAAAGCATCTCCAGCATCGCCCCAGAAATGGTTTCCAAATCATGACTGGGAGCACCAGATTGGCAGGGCTGGAAAAGACTCCCTGTGCTCAGGCAGGCACGCCTCTAAATGAGTCCCATTGCCCGGGTTTAGTTCAGTGTGAATTTCATTATGGGAAATCCATTTCCTGTTAAGGGGTTAGATTGGGTTCAACTGGATATCCAATCAGTGTGGATCAGCTCAAAAATGGGCTCAGAACAGCTTACGGTAAGCCACCACAGTGGCTGCCATTGCCACTATCATCAGTGTCACAACATCATGGTTATGAGCAGCAGCGTCAAGCTGTTTATTGGTTCCAATTTAAAAGATTTGTTGGAAGACAGTGATTTCAATATTTCAGTGCCTGCATTGGGGGAATTCATGTTATGATTTACATAAACAAAATAATAGCACCCCTTTGATTCCCTACAATTGTTCACTCTTCATCATCATCTAACGTTTCTCATGTATATTGTTTCAGCATCCTCATTATCATTCTTGTTATCAACTCCTGTCAGAAGAGTGACAACATACAAGATTATTGTTGCGCATTTGTGCTGAGCGATGATAATAGTGTTTTGCTCTACACTTCCGAACAATCACTTCACAGTAAGTGTTACCAATACATTGACATCACCGGACTGACAGCAGCTCCCAAACACTCCGTGCAGACATAAAACATGGACAATACAACTGAGACTGCTGAAGCAACCAAAGAATCTCAAATCCAGTATCTCAAATCTCAAAAAGAAACCGTCTAATCACCCACCCAATATTTCAAATATTTTCTTGAGGACTATGTGACAAATTTAAGAAACATTGTGACTTCATAGCTATTGACAGGCAAAAGTTAATAACAGAAATCTATTGAAAAATCCATTGGTACTAGACCTTAAGGTGCCATTAAAATAGATGGGAGCATAAAGGTGCTTTTTCTAACTTATTAGAAACACTGCCCATTGGGAAATTGCCACTTGTTACATATTTGATACATTAAGTAGATTTACTGATATTTAGCTAAATTATTTGTGTGCGGTTATCCTCTCCTTTGTTTACAACAAAGACCTTACTACACAAAAAAAGTCACTTTGACCTGTCCCTTACAGATACATAGATTATGGTAATTTACTGAAAACATGACAGATTTTGACATGGGTCATGCATATCCATTGTAATGTTAACAAAAAAAAAAACATGAATTTGTTATTTACTTACTGTTGACTTTGTGTCAGCAGAAACCCTGCAGCAATGTTGCTCTGTCTGTTAGCTAAGGTTAAGCAATCTCTAGCTATCCAACAACATTACAGTCCTTAGGGTTACAATGTAGGACAGCACAATGGTGCAGCAATAAGGCTCCTGGTTCAAATCTGCTGGCATGCTGAAGCCTTTCTGTGCAGACTTTGTATGTTCTCCCTGGGGCTCCTCTGGGTGCTCCAATTTCCTCCCACAATCCAAAAACATGCAGATTTATTGCCAACTCTAAATTGTACATTCACATTCACACCCTAGGTGAGAACCTCTAAAGGAATAGAAGTTATACCGTTACCAATGCTGTTAGCAACGCTACTGAGCTGGCAGAGCCTCTTTAGATAGAAAGCTGTGAAAATGTAGGTAGGCCTGTTTCTTTTTGTTCTCAGAGCAGTTAGTAACAGTACAGTAACATTTACAGCTGCATCACACCATGTCATCATTGTTTTGGTTGCTACCCAGAGGCAGCTAAAATTCTGTGAGCCTTGGCGAAAGAAAAACTTAAGTTAAAGACAGATGGCAACACACACTTGCAATTCTCAAGAGCTGAAGAATCATCAGTTTTATCTCTTATATGCATTTAATACTTATTGATCTTTTTATTTTCTATACTCTGTTCTTTTATCTGTGTTTAGGTAGCCCTATGAAGTGCCTCTGTATATGAAATGTGCTATATAAATGAACATGCCCTTCTTTGTCTTTCCAAGTAAATGAGGCATTAAATGAGGTTTGAGTAAATTTTTCCAGATTCCTATACATATGACATATTCAACACATTCGCACTCCGATCTCATCACATATTAACGCTTGGTCTTGGACTTTCCACATCAAGATAGGACGTGCAAGGTACCCTGGGTGCGTTGCTTGTTGACACTCTAGGACACCATGTTAAGTCCTGCCTGTTCCAAGCATAGATGACTTCAACGCAACGTCACTCACTGCCGTCACAATGGCCACGCCCCCTTTTAGGTGAAAGTTTTGAACTCAACCCGGGAGAGACGCTAGTCGCAGCTAGGAGATCATAATGCCAAAAAGTTGCTGCTTGCTTTGTTCACTGCACAGCAAACAATAATTAAGAGGATAGAGTGAAGAATGGGGAAAGAAGACATCTGTGGCTCACAGCCATCAAACGGTAGGGTAAAGACGGAAAGCTGTGGGATCCAGCCAGTCACTACACCTACGTCTGTGGCAGGCACTTCATCACAGGTTAGTTGGCTAACATTAGCTAGCTAGCTAAAGTCAGTTGATCTCAACAATAA